AGTGGGAAGAGAGAGAGGGATTTTGAGAAAGGGGGAATGGGGGTAGGTGGAGGGGTGGGCAGAGGTAATTTCAATGCTGAGCTTAATGAGAGGCATAAACAAAAACCAGGTTATTACTTATTATAGATCATCAGGAGTATTCATGAGAGGATGCGACGCATTCAACCATTACCTTTGAAGTCGCTGTTCCAGAAAGACATCTTCCGCAACTGAAAGTACTGTGTCAAGGTTATCAGAGGTGGTTACAAAATAAATATAAAGTCAACTCGCCTCCATTAGTAACCTGGTTCAGAAATGGCAATGGGGCCAGATTAACGTCAGCCCCAGTCTGTCACACACTTGCATAGATCAATTGGCATCGTCTCTCACCATCTTCAGCTTTGCTTATCACAGACAACATTTTCCTTTATCATATGGAAGAAGGAAAATGAAGCTCTAGCCAAGGAAAGAGTAATTACAGAGCAATATCAGTGTTGTCAATTCTCAACACAATCTCAACAAAAACAGTAATTGATGACCATTATCTTTACTGTGTAGCCTTCATTATGGTTTCGGAATAGGGTATTCTGCTGCTCATCTCTTGTTGAGGTTTACTGAACCTCTGTTAGGCGGCATCAGTCACTGGAAATGTACCTATTGATTATGCAATGTCCTGCTCTTTACCTAACCTTGATTTCAAGCTCACCATTGACAGAGATCCCAATTTAAGATCATTTTTTATACAATACCCAAGTGAAAACCAAATGATACTCAACATTGTACTTAATGCAAACTTGCACTCTAGCCGAGCATATCACCAGGAAGTACAAGGCTTCATATCAAAGGCTGATCATTGCTGTATATAATGTTACTCTGATATTGCTACCAAGGAGTGGTCTGACTAGATAGTTATTTCCGTACCAAGTCATGATAGCTTCTTGCAGGTGCAGTCAGCATTTTGGATGGTCAACATCCATAAGATTCACTAATCAAAAGCTTTCAGCAATATTTGCTAGTAGTAAACAGTGGCAAATTATATATGGCGCTGAAAAACACGTGATATTGATAACTAGACAGCTAGACATTGCTGCTAGGATAAGCACAATAACAAATGAACAAAAATTGCCAATGAAATGGACATTTTTGGGGGTAAAGCTTGATTCTCAAATGACCCTGAAAAGCCACTTGTTGCACCTCGCATACCAGACAGCCAAGAAACTTAACATGACTAAGGCATGCCCCGTGCCTATTCATTATAAGTGGTTGGAAGACTATAAATGTATCACAAGTTTGTTCACTTCTTAGGTCAGCACCACTCTTGGATGTCCTGTTCCCATTTATTCTCAGACTTTTGGACAAGGGGGAGAATCTTGCAATGTTACTTATCTCAGTACTGTCCATCCTGGCTAGACTTGTTAGTTCAGCAGTCATTGATGACTGAAAGGTATCTGCACCCTCACTGCCTTGTACAAAGCCAACGTTCTCGAGGTTGTGCAAACGGCTCAATTCGTGCACAACAAGGCAGTGACTGTCACAACACAAGACGCTCAGTATCATTTTCATTGTGGTTGTACATTCTCAAAAATTGGCAGGATTCAAAATGGAGAATAACATTGAGTAACATAACGGTGAGAATAACATTGAATAACATAACGGTGGAGAATAACAGCTCCTTACCGCAATATTCGCATAAGAATGGGAATGCTAATTATCTTGAAACCTAGTTATAGTAAACAAAATAAGGGGGGGGGGCAGGGGCATGGGAAGTGAGTGTGATGGCTGTCTGTGTTAGTGTGTAACAACTCACTTTGGCTCCAGACTGTGTTTGGGGAGTAGAAGAACTCCCGAACCCCTCTACAGGTATGCTCCAGGTATACTTGGCTTGACTAGTTTAAAATCAAAGGGAAAGGGGAGTGATACTGTAGGTAACAAGGGAGATAAATACTTAATTTTAACAGACGTGGGTGTGACAGACACGATAAATTGAAAGGAAAATAAGAGTGAAAGGATTTTTTCATATAAATTCAGTGGATTTATTTAAACCACCGAAATTAAGCTGGGTACATCCTGACAGCTAGAATTCTTCTGCAAAGCAATTAATATGGTAATGAAGTAGAGCTCGGGGACACAAGGCACTTACTCTTTCATCAGGAATGTAAGAATTCTCCACCAGTATATGATCCACAAGAAGTTTGCTTTTAATGCTGTGTTGACACTTGAGTGAATAACTAAGCACCTCTCCTAGATAAAAGATCCACTCTCAAGCTGGTTTACAAGCACCCAAGGCCTGTCGCCCAATGACAGTATAGGGCCTTTCCTGGACCAGTTAATGCCAAGTACTGTGAATCTAGGTTATTAGTGCGTGCAAGTCTGCGATTCTGAGCTGAGCCACACCCTGACCCTCGTCCCGCTCTGCCCCGTGTTAATAGGGTGAGTGAGGGATGGGGGCCGTGTGTGAGGGATGGGGGGCCGTGTGTGAGGGATGGGGGGGCCGTGTGTGAGGGATGGGGGGGGCCGTGTGTGAGGGATGGGGGGGGCCGTGTGTGAGGGATGGGGGGGGGGGCCGTGTGTGAGGGATGGGGGGGGGCCGTTTGTGAGGGAGGGGGGGGCCGTGTGTGAGGGATGGGGGGGGGGCCGTGTGTGAGGGATGGGGGGGGCCGTGTGTGAGGGAGGGGGGGCCGTGTGTGAGGGAGGGGGGGCCGTGTGTGAGGGATGGGGGGCCGTGTGTGTGAGGGATGGGAGGGCCGTGTGTGAGGGAGGGGGGGGCCGTGAGTGAGGGAGGGGGGGGCCGTGTGTGAGGGAGGGGGGGCCGTGTGTGAGGGAGGGGGGGGGGCCGTGTGTGAGGGAGGGGGGGGGCGTGTGTGAGGGATGGGGGGGGCGTGTGTGAGGGATGGGGGGGAGCGTGTGTGAGGGATGGGGGGGGCGTGTGTGAGGGATGGGGGGGCCGTGTGTGAGGGATGGGGGGCCGTGTGTGAGGGATGGATAGGGGTCGAGTGTAAAGGATGGATAGGGGCGGATAGGGGCCGAGTGTGAAGGATAGGGGCCGAGTGTGAAGGATAGGGGCTGTTTGTGAGGGATGGTGTCATGTTTAAAGTCCAATATTTCCTGGGAATCTATCTCATCCAAACAACCCTCAATCCAGTAGTGTACATGTACTTCTGTTAGTCTGGCTTACAAAACTTCAAACAAGCAAAGGGTTTAATGGCCGCAGAGCTCTGCGGTTGAGAGCCCTCACTCCATGGTATCAAACAAGCAAGTGACTTACCGTGGGCCGATCCTGGACTGTCTCGCTGTCACATGACGTCATGTATCTTCCATTTGTTACACTAGGCCATGTGACCTGTGAAGCAATGTTAATAAATATGATGTCAGAGCTCTACCAGGTGCCATACTGTTTGATAAGAATAATAAACTAAAATACAAATACAGCCTGTTTCCAACCTCAGTCTTCCTTCAAAATGTACTTCACTTGGAAAAATACTTCACCCAAGTACTATATATTCTGAAGACCATCTGCATGTCAGTTTTATACCTACAGTATATGGTAGGGAAATAATATGCCAAGGGAACTATCAGAAGAAGCGTCAAGCCATTACGACTATATAGCACTTTGAAGTGATCTGGAAAAGGATTTGGGTTGGGACTGTGGGAAGGAATGGTGCTCAACCACTTGGAGGGTTGGCGATGCGAAATTTCCAGACAATATCAGTATACTGTACTGTATTGTATTCCGATTATTGCAAGTAAAGTTATTCACAAAATAATTCAATTACCGCGAGGAGAGCAGGTGTTATCCACAAAATAAGTCAGTATCCAAAAGGACTAGATGTTATTCACAATTAGATTAGCAGTGCGTGTAGCTGGATGCAAAGGTGTGCAATCGATTTGCTACAATAATCTTATACGGTACAGTAATGTACAGTAATTACAAAGCTTCTAGAACTGATCATTGCAGATAATAGTTTAATCAGTATATTTCCACACCCTGAGCTTGCGTGAGACAGTATCCTACAGTCCTGTGCACTAGGCACATTATGGGAACAGGAATACTGGTGGCATATCTGACACACATGTCCACACAAAATATTTTAAGCTATATGCTATGCATGAGTACATTTTCACACTGCTTTTGAAAAAGGTTATAATAACATTGCTGCATGCATTTATAGTAAACTGATAGTATGTTTGTGATTTTAGTATTGTGAAATAATGTTTCATATTTCAGTAGTTATCATTCTTAGATTTATAAGTTTGTAAAAGTGAAATCACTTCCTTTATTTTCAGATGTTAGGGTTGGGTGTCCAATTTTCAACCACGTTATTGTGACTTACTGTCTGCATATGAAGTGTTCATTTTACTTTGTTTTATAAATTGTTGTGTGATAGTTTCAGATTGTATTTCAGTGCTTTATAAATAGCTCTTTAAATCTAGTACAGTATCATGGTTCTGTACTCTTAGAAAAAATTATAATCAAGGTTTTGTTTTTGAAGATGTAAATTAACCTGAATTGTCCCCATAAATTGTATGCCTTATCTTCAGAAGATATGACTTTTGTTGTTTACATAAGATTTTAGTTTACATAAGTATTGCACATTTATATTCTCAACTTGTTTCATATTCAGTACAGTATACAGTAGTGTACTTGTGAACTGATCATTTTACTTTCACTTATGTAATATTTTGGCTTTCTTACGTTAAGAAATTTTCAGGTTGCAAGAATTGCATATCTTTCCATAACCATCCAGTTGCCAGTGCTTGGAGGAGGCTGGAGGTGGAGACGATGTGCCTTTAACGGCTGCTATGTATTTATTGTTTATTTTTTGGTTGAATTTTGTTTCATCACTACAGTATTGTTCAAAAATCTTTCCAGAGAGCATTACACACTGTTGACTATACATGGATGTTTAGTCTCATTTTTATACTGTACTCAGTTGTGTGTTAATGTTTGGAAGAGTTTTTCATGTTAGTCATATGTCTTTGTGTTGTTAAGTCACTAATTGATTTTGGGTGCCTTCCCTCAGTGTGATGAAGGACCTGGTTCGATGGGGGGTGCGGGGGGTCTTCACGGCGGGGGGTTTCCATCTGGTGCAGGTCAAGGGCCGCCAGGCACACCCTAAGGAGGCCCCCATCCTGGCTGTAGCACCCCACTCATCCTACTTTGATGCCCTGCCCGTTGTCGTCATGGGTGCTCCCAGCGTCGTCGCAAAGGGGGAGGTCACAAATGTGCCCTTCTTTGCAAGTACGGGGGATATTTTAACCCTGGTTAATATATATCAAATTGTCTCATTAGTCTCATTTCATTGTTTGGTCTCTCTGAAGACCTGTATTAGAATTTTTAAGATAGGGTATCTTTTTATGGTATGTGGATTAATGAGATGATGTGGATAAAGATGTCGTAGCAAGTGGTAGCCTAGTAGTGGTCATTGCTGGGGGAGGGATAAAAGCACCTACTATCACACCTGACTACAATAAACAACTTTAGATGTTCACAACACATAAATTATTCAGTTGGACCTGCATGGTAGAATATATTAATGTAAACTTTGTATCTTTCAAAATGTTTTTACCTGTTAATCCATAAAATTAATTAATCACCATATAAAAACTTAAGGCTTTTGGTACACCCATTATTTGTTTCTGAGAAGCTATCTTTGTTAAGAGTATGTAATATGCATTATGCCAAAAAAAAAAAAAAAATCCTGTTGTGCTTGACCAGATAATTCATCTTAGTGTGCTGTAAATAATGCTCAGTTCATGCTCCTAGTATAAAATATCTGCCGTACCTCCATTACTCGATTCTATTGCATTCCATGTCACACAATTTTATTGCAAATGGCCTGAAAACAAAACCATTTCATCCTCTTAAGATGCCAAAACACTTTATCCTCATAAGCATTTACCATTGTCCTAATGGTCTTATTGAATGTGATGAACCATTTTGACTGACTGATGTATAGATTAACAGTACTGGAACATGGGTTTTAATGGAAAACAGCAGACAGTAGATACAAAATAATTAAGTATTGTATAGTGTGAATTTCTTTTACCAAGAATGCAACTTGTGATACAGTATAATTTTATTACTGTTGCATTCTTTATATTCCTTTATGCACATATAAAGCTTCTGAATAGCTTGAAACTTTGACACAAAGCTTAAAGTAGTGTAGATTCTGCACTGCTTCAATACTTTATCTGAACTTATTTTCTTGGTTATTGCAGCACCTAATTAAAGTCTCAGAATACATAACATGAATGTTGTATGTGTTATTATTTTCAGTAAAAATACTGTTTTAAAATATTTTAATTAGTCTTACTAAAGTAGTGTATATATGTGTGACAAAACTTGATGTATATACCCTGTACAAAGTCTTGTTATGTAGATGTGTGTAGCACCACTTTGCTTTTCACTGTATAACTACACAACATTCAGTTTCTCACTTTGTAGTGCACAATGTTTTTTTTTTTTTTATTCAGCAAGTAAAAATATTTAATACTTTTTATCCATGTACAGTAATTGTTCAAAATTAATTTATTTTATTTCCTGATTATTTAGTGTAGCGCAGTAAATATTACTTCTCTCTCTATATATAGACCACATCCTTATCCTGATCCCTTCCCAGTGCTATATAGTCGTAATGGCTTGGCGCTTTCCCCCCGATAATTCCCTCCCTTCCCTCTCTCTATATATTGTTTTATTATTTTTATAATGCTCATTTGTTTGTGGTTGCATACAGTACTGGTATTTCATTGTCATTTTTCATAGATTTTTTGCTACATTGATCTTGTTGATGTTAAAAATTGCCTCCCTTTGAAATTACATGGAACATAACATAATGTAGTATTTTTAATGCATAAAATAGTTGGAAAATTCTGAACGTAGACAATACAGTACAGCACTTAGTTTATTGTACAGCAAAGTTTATTGTTATGTATTCTGACTGCACATATCCAGAAAAATTGCATAAAATGAATAATCAAATATTAATTTGCATATTAGCGAGTTTTACACAAATGCAAATACTGTTTAGTGCATTGTTCCCTTCACAAATGTCATCTTGCATTTGGTACAGTACATAGTACATTTTAAAAGCAGAAATAAGTTACTAAAGTACAGTGCTATAATGGATATATGAAGTAATTTTGTGATGTTTGGCTTATTGCATTTTTACAATGTGAACAAAGAATTTACTTTGATATAGTTGTATTCTATCCATAAACATCTGATAAATTTATTTTCTCTATGACAAAAGTATGAGTTAATTAATAATTTTGTTAGTTTATAAACAGTGAATATATTTAATTTGATTCTGCATGTTTCAAACTAGGTATTGTATATGGCATGTTCAATGAAGTAACTTTGTAGTAATGCATTTGTATTCAGTACATTGTTACATTGTTTAAGTTTGACTTTAGTGTTGTCATAGAGACCGAAGTGAGCCCTCTAGAAACTTGGGTGTGGTGGTGGGTGTTCCCAGATAAAAGATATTCTCTTGCTGCAGTAACTTATGTGCTAAAAAAAAGATTGAGTACAGTTCTTATAATCCATGTATGCACTGCCAGAGTTGTTGGATTATCTGAATTCTGTATATCTTGAATCACCACAAGCTTTATGTAGAATTTATACACAAGTGATTCATTATACTGTACTGGTACAGTATGTTACAAATTCTGAGATTTTTAAATTACTGTACTGATACAGTATACCAGTTCTATTACTAATGAGGCATATTTATGAAACTACCGTAAGTTTTAGAGTAAAGGTACTGTATTTGATATAAAAGTTCATTCAAATGTAGGAATTAATTAACCTTTGGCAATGTAATTTGTTGTGGCCACTTTATCCTTTATCTGAAAAATTCTCTAGCTTTATTTATATTTTAGATTGTGTTTTAAGCATGAAATGCTTATTAGGAGAGATTGAGAAGAAACCCATCACATACTGACTACTGTACTTGTTTAAGCTTTGTTTTAGGCTTTATCTTTAGGTTTTATGATGCCTGATTATAGGACGAGGCACAAGACCTTACTTGATATAGCTTTGAAGTTAGGGTTTTTTTCTTATTTTAACATCTAGTAGTTTAGTTAAAAGCTTGCTGCAATTTTCTGTCATATGATAGTAAAGTGAAACTTATTGGCTAATTATTATTTTGTTGAGCATGAGCACACTGATGTCACAAGAGGACTCTTGAGCACAGCTTACAAAGTGTTCTTCAGATACAGTATAGCATTCTTAATCTGCTGCACATTCCCCCTAGAGTTAGTGATTTGCAAGCCCATACTTTCATAGAGGGAAAAGAAACATCTGCCTTGCACCTGCTACAATCAACGCGTGACAGGTGCATCCTCGAGGCTTGCCATGTTGAATGTTTACATAGCTGTTGTACCAATGCGATTGGACCTTGAGCTGTCCGCATGGTATTGTCTCATTACCACGTGTAAATGCTGAACATAATGTTGGTCATGTATTTTAATTATCAGTTTATATTTTATGATCAATATTTTGGTTTACATGTTCATAATACTTTCCATCAAAGTTTTGTCATGTTTTGCTTTCTTGTTACTTACTTCTACCATTTGACATATTCTTTACATCTCATATTGAGTGTGCTGATAATGTTCATCTGCATGCTCTGCTTTCTTGTATTTGTGGTTGCCTTTTTTAATGTATGGTTTTGCACATTGTCAGTGTGTGGCCTTCACTTCTTTTTGTGCTTAGAAATCTTTTGATACTGAACACATTATTATTAGCATTTCTTACCATCACCACCACCTTTAATTTTTTATTTTAGACTCTTATAGAATGTTGTTCTGTGCCAATTTAGTGAGTTTTTACTTAACCTTTAATAACACTCAAATTAAAGTATATTTTAAATTGTATCCTCTTGGGAGAAAATATCAAAGAGAAGCACCTTAGTGTAAAGGTAGATTTGTTCTTGCACCTGTTTGACCCAACTTTGATCTTGGGTATCTGGTAGCATAAGTTGCCATAATTGATCAGTATACCACCTGATACTCCTTGTAACCAATAGCTCTCTCTTTACAATAGATCATTTCTGATACTGTGCTGTATCTCTCTCTAAAAATATTATTCAGGTATTCTTTGCCTCACTTTACTTGAAATATGGTCACTCCACAAAAAATAAACAGATTTGACATAATTTATTGCATGCAATGTAAATGATAAACATTTAATTGTTTATCTTAATATGCAGAATTGAAGCTGCCTAAATATAGAACACTTTAAGAGTACTCATTTATGTTTAGAAATACTTTGAACATATGACCCAATCTCTGAAATACTGTAATAATTTTTTTTAGCTACTTGAGATAGATAACAAATATTTATTATACAGTACTGTATTATAGTATAACAGATGTTTCATAAACTTTAGTTGTTGTAGCATTTTGTTCAATATTTAATATTTTGTAACAAAATTCAGTTAAGTCAACAAAATTGTCATCATTGCCTATATTAAATTACTTTCTCAATTAAAGTAAAATTATATTACATTATAAAGTTAATGCATCCCTTCTCCCAAGTGTAATCAATACATTTTTATATGACTGTTTATTTTAGTCAAAATTATACTATTGCATTGTATTAAGTTCAAACATTACATGTGGAGAAAACTTTATTTGTAGATACAGTACTGTATTTTTTCTTACTCTTGATATTTAAACTCATCATTGTTTTCATTACTGTACAGTACTTGGTGCTTCCTCCATGTTGTAAAGTATTTTCATTTTGTTATGAAATGCAACATTCTTTTGCATCTAAATTTAGTCCCTGTCACATCAAACTACTGTTTCCTGTAATTCTTGTTCTTGGTCATAATTCTAACTATGCTGAATATAAATTGTAATACATTTGCTGTATACAGTTTTAACAAAGTCATTATGTGCTTTGGAAAATGCTTGAGTTCATTTGCACATGTCTACTCCATTAAATCATATCATATATAATATATATATATACAGTATATATTATTTTCTTGGGTTATTCTTTTCTCTTGGAACTTTTCAAAAATTTCAGTGCTCTCTTATGGATGTACATAATGTTTTGATGTTTATGGGTAAAGCATTTCATATTAGCAGCTCATATGGTAATTAGCTACAGTATCTTTTTAATGTTTCATATAATATGAACATTTCTTAGTATCAGTCTCTAACATCGTCAGTTGCTTGGTCTCGGAAGTTGATAGTTAAGCTGATTGAATAAACAGAGTACTGGTTATAAGT